AAAAACAATACCAAAAGAGAATAAAACAAAAAATATATGTAGATACAAAATAAGACAAACAAATAAATTTAAAAAAGGAATAAAGAATACAATTTAAAATAGACAAAAAACATACAAAATAAGCATAATACAAAAAATACTTAACAAAGTAAACAAAAATACAAAACAACAAAATATGTACATAATACATAATACAAAACAAAAAATTAATTAATTAATTTCAAAAAAAATCAAAAATAAGAAAAAAGAAAAGTGCTAAAAAACATGCCTCGATTAAGTTATTAAGGTCGCCTAATGAATGAAGGCGCGAGCGAAAGGTTTAAAAAAAATACTCTTTACAATATAACTTGGCAGCACTGTTTGTCCTTTAGCGGGAATTATAAATATTTATGGTGCTCAATTGCCAAATTTATTTAATTTTTTTTTGTTTTTAGAAAAATATTCAAATACTTTCATTTCAATTGGCACTGCGGGAACTTCATGGAAACAAACACTATGCAAAACTTATTCTGAAATATATATCTAGTTTATTGCTCAATTGCATGCGCCATCAGTTATAAAAATTATCTAAAATAATATTTAGTATCATAATAATATGGCAGTGTGTTGAACAAACTGCCAATTTTATATAAGTTGCCTATGCATATTTGCAAGAAAACCGAGAAACCAAAATTTATTGGAAATTAGAATGTTAAATCTGAATGTAAGACATTCCACACTGGCAATGGCCACATACATTTACATCCAACAAATATACTTCAATACAACAAAAAATGCACAACTATTTTCTTCATTCCGCACACTACGGCTTGTCTTCAATTTGCTTTCGCCATTTAATCGTATTCATGACTCGATTCACGTTTCGTTATTAAATTCTCACGTTCTTCAGCTGAGCTTTTAAGTAGTGTGGAGCCAGCTGGTGGCAATACAGTACGGTTAAGCGCCTTCGTGCGATGTAAACCCTCTGTGAGACCAGATTCAGTAAGTACTTCCACTTCGTCATCATCCATATTACGCACCGAGAAGTATGGATGTGATGAAGTCGGACGAAATTTATAAGCCGTCAAGACGAAGAACACATAAGTTGCCATTTCGTGGAACATCTCATCCAGCCAAGCATACTGAAATGCCACGGTCATCTTCAGCAGATACACAATGATACGTGTGAAGTAAATGTAACAAACTATCATTATGTAGAATTGACGGAAAAGCTTGAGTTTGCGCAAATTTATAGCAGCTTTGCCGTCGGTGGCCGACGCCTCATGCAAATGGCGTATGGACCAGACAATCGGGAAGAGTATGGCACCGCAACAGAGCAAATCAACGAAAATAAAAATATTGCGCCAAGTGCGGAACTCAATATCGCTCTCTTCGGACTCGTCAATTATGATCTCAGCAACGTTGGCAAGTACCTAGCGTGATAAATATTATGCGTTAATGAGAATTGTTACTTATTATTGTTAGTAACAATTATTTTACCTGCAGCGGTATGACAATCATGAAGATTTTCTTATCCTTATCAGAAAGTATGGGTTTAATGAATGTCCAGCCGGTGCCCATAAGCACGATTGTGATGAATAATACGGAACCTTTCAATCTGTTATTTAAAAAAAATATAAATTTTTAAATAATTTTTGCACAAAAAAGTATTTTTTCAATGAAAGATTATTGAACCAATATTTTTAAAATGTGCCATATTTCATTTATATACTTACAAATGTGTTATGTAATACAATATCGCCCAAGCTTCAACGTGCTCACCGCGTATTTCGATAAAATGATAATTAATGGCGTGGAACATGAGAGACAGCGACTTAAGGAACACCAGCAAGGCCATTATGTAGTGTAGTTTGTGAACGTTGTGCCTAAAAGTGCAAATAGGATATATAAATTTCCCGAAAAGAAAGCATATTCTAATCTCTAAACGTGTACGCACTTGCTCTTCTTCAAAATGAAGATCCAGAAGAAGCCCGACAAGCAAAATAGTACGCTCATCATGGAATATAAAGCGGGGAGCGGCATTTCGCCAGCGGAAAGGAAATTATTTTCATTTTTCTCCTCAATGTCCACCTAAAAAAGCGTATGTTTTTACATTACTACCGCTACATAAATTCCTTAGAGCAACTTACATCGAAAGAAACCTCCTTCAATCCCCTGTAATTGGGGCAAGAGTGGAAATGCAGGTTGTAAAGACCCTCATCATGCAAGGCGGCCACAAGCATGGAGAACTATGATGTTTACTTATAAGTAATGCAATATGTACTAACATACAACACCGTTAACTTACCGACATATTGTAATAGACCTTTCCATCAATAACTCGCTTTGTCAATGGCATTGTATAGTTGCGGCAAATCTCAAACTGCGCATTATCTTCGAAATTAATTTGAGATGCCGTAATTGCAGGTGCGACTTTTTCCGGTTCGTGAGGGAAAGGATTTTCCTCTGCAATAGATTGAACTTCTTTATTAGCATCTGCTGCTATTGGCGCTTTGACAGCAACTGCGTGTACAGCTGACTCGGCAACTTTTGTCGGTAGTGGTGCATTAACAGCTGGCAATGGAGATGAGGGCTTCGAAATTATTTGTGGCACTTCAACCGAATCGTCGTCATCAAGCATTTCACGTTCCTCCAATGGTATATCGTTTTCATCACCAGGTGCAACGGCCGCGTCATCACTACGCCTACGGCGCTGTAGAAAGATTGTTGAATCGCTAAGCTTAGAGTAACGCTTTCCACGGTACATAGGCAGCTCATCATGGTTGCGTACAATGTGTTGATTCTTCCACTCGGGCGAACATTTTACTCTTATACTGAAATAGGTTAAAATGTAAATTTTTTTATTGGCAGTTGACATTTTTTTTTTTATTTTAAGGAGACCTACAGCTGATTTTTCAAGTCCAATAGAAATATTAAAATTGGACCACTGCGCTGCATTTCTGCGGGTTCCTCTAGTATGCATCTGTTTTGATGCGAGTCCAAGTATGGGTTTAATTGGTCTATTGTAGTTTTATCTAACGTTAGGCCAAACTAAACGAAATAATATAATTTATGTTATTTTATTATTTTAATTTATTATATTTTTTTATGTTAATATAACAAACAAATAAATGAATTCTCACCAAATCTTGTTCATTCTCATCTTCTATATGCATTTTACTCAACAGCACATCTAAATGTCCACCAATATAGAAACCGAATGTGCTCAAAGCTATATATGGCCGCACGTCATGCTGCAACGGAAACAAACCGTTAACTCAGTTACCATACAAACTTTTGTCGCATCATTTACTTACGCGAACTTCTAGGTGATGCTTTCTGGCTGCCACTAAAGCTATCAGCAGTGTTTGGAGAATTAGAAACTTGCATCTTGTCTGATAACCCATGTTTATTTTCGTTATTTATGGCTAAAACAAACGTCTGCGATAGCCGACGATATCAGTTCTGTATCGAAACGATCTATATTTTTTTCTGGTGGCACATAAACATTTAAATAGATCGTATATATAAACTTCGATTGAATTACACAACCATATACCTGTTATTTTAGTTTTCAACTGCCTTTTTAAGTTATTTATCAATATACAATTTTCACAATATCAGCAGCAAAATATCAGAAAATATGTACGTATAAAATTTACGATTCGTCAGGAGGAGGAACATCTGATTGTCAATGTTAAAATTACATTAACGCTAGGTGGCGCACAAAATTTACACATTGAGTCAGATGATTAATATAATATAAAAATATAAAATATTTTATTGCTACGATTTGTTAAAAAAAAAATTATATATTTTACGATGATTACGATTAGTCACTAAATTATGAAGCTAATATGTTTAATACAAAATATTTCGATTTTGAACAGTACCAAATATAACGCATATTTATGAAAATATATTATAAGTAGGAGTATCGGAATGAACTTATTTTATAGATTAAATTTATGTGTTTATATAAATACATTTAACTATTTAAATCAGTTATCAAATAAAGAAATGTTTATTTTTTGTTACGAATTTTCTTCAAACATTCCCGATTTATTGGTGTACGCCCTGTACTTGCAAGCGCATCCGGCAACTCGCAATGGTTTTGACAGCTGTCAAAAAGCAATGCTGACAACTTGAGCAATATGGACTTCCTCTTTTTCGATACGTTCGCGTTCGGGTGAATTTGTCAAAAAATTCAACAAAATAAATCTTAGGTAATCTTAGAGAAAATTCACATAAAGGTCTTTGGAAATTTCAACAAGTGCTGTGGAAAAGTGTTTTATTACAGAAAAGAAGTATATTTCGCGTCATTTCTGTCACATATTTATTATTTTTGTGTACATCTATGAAGTGAAATGAATTTGCTCACGTCTTGCCCGAATACCTATGCCATTGATATTTTGTTGCCAAAGCCATGCAGTATGTTTTTTGCAACATCAGCTGAAGCAAAAGTTCAGTGAAACGGCTTTTGGGATTTATATGGCCTAAATTTTCTTTACGTGGTTTTCTTAGCGCTACAACAAATATTGATTGCGGCGTTTCTATAATAAACTGTCAAATTTGCATATGAATGTTTGCGTGCACATTCGTTGCGTGGCTTACGATGAAATTCTACGTTTTTTTATAGTAAACTATTGCTGATTCTGCAGAACTCAATTGTAAATAATCCACAGCACATGAAAATTCCTCTGAAGCAACGATATTCTTAAGCGTATATTGGTTTTAACGTATCCTTTGTTTATTTTTCAGCCATGGTGCGAATGAACGTATTGGCCGATGCCTTGAAATGCATTAACAACGCTGAGAAGCGTGGCAAGCGTCAGGTTCTCCTGCGTCCCTGCTCCAAAGTTATTGTCAAATTCCTTACCGTAATGATGAAACATGGCTACATTGGTGAATTCGAAATTGTTGATGATCATCGTTCCGGCAAAATTGTAGTTAATCTGACTGGTCGCTTGAACAAATGCGGCGTCATCTCGCCCCGCTTCGATGTGCCCATCAACGACATTGAGAAGTGGACCAACAACTTGTTGCCCTCTCGTCAATTCGGTTATGTTGTGTTGACTACATCCGGCGGTATCATGGATCATGAAGAGGCCAGACGAAAACATTTGGGAGGTAAAATTCTTGGATTCTTCTTCTAAGCGGGACACAGGATCGTTACACTATTAAAAGTGTATTTAAGCTATTGCAGCTGGCAAAAGCAAAGTGTTTATATTATTTTTTACAAAACTAGAATGATAATAGTCACTGAAAAACTGCAGTAATTGTGCGTGAAGGAGAATAAAGAATTGAAAAATTTTATATATATGGGTTTCCTTACATTTTACCGGCTATTTTATGATAGTATTGTGCCAAATATCTTTATACAAATAACAATGGTGTATTGCGCGTATAGTGAGCCAATACACATATTTGTGCATTAGACAAAAATCAATAATGCTTGATACAATAGTGCTCAAGTGAATTGTTTTAACGCCTTAAAAATGTATTCCCCACTTATAATTTAATTTTTATAATCAGAAATCGGTTGCTGCGTTAAAAAACATTTGTGATGCCAACTTTCTTTAGTTAAAAGACCGGAGATGTGCGTTTATTATATACTCATCGTTTGTCAGATTTGCTTCGTGTATGGTTTACAATAAATAAAAAAACAATGATCCGGCGTCTTGCACCGAAGCAATTATACCCTTCACACGACAGTCGAGTTTAAGTAATCGGCACAAACCCGTACTTTATTCCGACCATTGCTTCAGGAATATTTTCTGCCGCTACAATAACAACAACAAACCAACCTTCATAAGTACACAAGGCTCGATGCAAGAACTTGATTTTGATATGTCAGTTTGTATGGTATAGATGGCAGTTTCTCCGATGATGTTTTTCCTAAGTGTTATAAAGTTCATGGCACAGCGGGTATATCGTTCAGGGTATAAAAATATAGATTTCCGTTCCGTTCATTTATTTTCACTCAAAAATATAATTTGCAGTTGCGCTCTTAGTTAATCAACTTATTTTTAAAACGCCTAAAAGTATGCAAAATTTATACTGGAAACCGTTCGGTTTAAAAACAGAATTTGCTATAAGCTTGCAAAGTGCTTTTAGAAAAGAGCGCAAAATAAAATATTTTCTCCAAGATATCAATACAGGAATGTGTGTATTAGAAAAAGTTGTATTTGCAGTACTGTTATATTAGTCATATCTTATCAACATTTTCATGAACGTTCTTGCATACTCGTATGTATATGGATGTCGGCGTGTTTGTAAGTAGAAACCAAAGCTTCATATACTTTTGCAATCAATTTTGTATTTCAATAATGCTAGGAAACACATTTTGTTTGCTATGAAGACCACTGCACATGTGCGCAAATATGTAAGTATGTGAGCTTATCAGCAAAACAAATAGTAAATACCACCATTTGCACTCGATACTAGAAATGATTCGACACTGCCGTACATTTGTATTGATGGCTTTTTGAGGAATATAATACAATTTCCAGACACTTTTGATTGTTCGTGTCTAAGAATGCTCTGCTATAAATCATGTACGTTTGTATATGTTTAGTGTAGTTATTAAATATAGAATTTTGTACCTGTGCATAATAAAGGCGGTAAAATTTCCATTTCCAATAATAGCTATCTTCCAACTATTTTGATAACAGTTAGCATTTTATATGAACCCTGCCGACCTTATATTAAAATGTTGTATTGTGCAAAACAACAAATAGTAAATTAATGCTACTAAGTTCTAATCTGAATATAATTTCACGTCACCAAAACATTATTGCGGCTCGAATGACCCCAAAGTGAATTAGTTGTTTGTGCCATTGATGCCTCAGATACATACACATGTACATATATACATACATACATATGTACGTCAGTAGTCAGGAATTACTTGGCCATTATAATTATTGGATTTCAATTAGTTACGTTTCGGCTTTACTTTTTTTACTATCTTTAATAGTTGCTCTTTTATCGCCGCTATTAACTATAAGCTGATCAATATTGATAACATCGTACGTGGGCTATTAAGCATATCTGTTGGAGTTTTTTCATTTGTATAAGCACAAATATGTACTTATGTATATAATAAAAGCCATACTTATCATAGGTGCTTGCTATTATTTCTTAGAGCCACTACTTGAAAAGCTGAGGTGATAATTAGGATGATTCTGTATTTGCTATTTGCTTTTATGTGGTTTATAACAATAGAATGCGTGCCGTGCTTACTTTATCAACAAATAGCAAACTTTCAAGAAATCACTTATCTCAATAAGCTGAATCATGGCATGGCAAGTGTGTTTGGCTTTATTGCATCAGTGCTCACCAATGCGATGGAACTTAAATTCACGAGTAGACTATTGGCACGTCTGTGCGTATGCTTGGACATAATAAACATAATTGAAAATCGAAGCAAATATCGTACGGTAGATGCATATAAGTATATGGACATCACTACATATGTATGCATGTACATCCATACAACATATCGGATTAAGGAGCTGTTATGGTAGTCTTCACCAGATGCAGTCGTGCTGACCAAATGCCGCAGATAACCAACAACATTCAGTTCATTCTAATGAAATTTATTTTATTTTGGTTCTTGTTGGGGAGCTGGGTTGCAAAAATTCAAGAAAGGGCATACCATTGAAAGAAAGAATAGAATAAAACTGCAAGCGTTTTGTGAAAATGCAATATGTACATACGTACATAAATCTATAAAAATGCTTTGGCACAAGTGCATACATATATGTATGTATCTACACACCCATAACATACAGTTGCACTTGCCTCTTCATACATACATACTTACATACATTTCTGGGTGCGTGCATTGAATTTTAATGAATTTGCCCAAGTCTAGTCTAGCGAATGTACATAGCCACTCAAAGAGCAAGCTAACCAGCGGCGTGTGTGCTACAAGTTTTCTGCACTTCACATTGAAAACGAAATTATGTGCAACCGAACAGGAAATTCTTATATGGAGTCGCATGGTGACAAGTTGTATATGTGCAATTTGTATGTACATGTAAGGATAAGCAAACGCGCTTTGCGCTTACTGCATTAAGTGGTCTGGTATGTGATACCGGCTGATGGGCGAAAAAAAAACGTCCAACACGTTTAAATAGAGGGCAGTAAACCAGCAAGCGACAGATATTATGAAATCGTTATCAACACACGTTGTTCCTGAATTGTATCACTCTCAACACGCTGTTGACCGGTTTAGAAGCATTTCCCCACATAATTCTTCATACAAATATGGCACCACATCTGCGGCCGCTCCAATACAATTCAATCCAAGCTAAAATGGCTGTAGTAATCTTATCATGGCGTTCATGTAGATAATAAATAATCATAATATTGTTGAGCACTCAACGGCACTTCTGCATGGCAAGCGTTTATTTCATTTGTATAACCATTTTTTATCAAAGATCTAGTGTAATCCCCCGTATTTGTATTTGCTATGTTTATACACATGTACATCATACTTTATATCGCTGTTGCCAAAAAAAATTTAAATGACGAAATCTAATCTTTGGACAGGTATCACCAAACGCGCTTCCCGTTCAATACTTGTCGATTTGGAGAATTCCCCCATTGTTAATTGTGGCTAGACATGCTACATTACAGGTACAAAGGTTTGCTGAAATAAAATTAATAAATTGTGTAACTTTTCACTTACTATCCCCCATTTCTTAACACGTTGAGGACGGCGCTGCTTTTAGTTGGCAGTTTCACCTTAGTGTATGACCCACCGGTGGGTCGCGCCGTTCTCAATGTGTTAATAATGACCGGCAAAAAATATGCATTTATGCATTATATTTTTTAAATTGTTTATTGCTGCGGAATTGTATTTGTTGTGAAATAGCAGGGAGTTAATAGTGAATGATTTTTTTATTCCATTTTTATTTCTGTAATAAACACTTTCCAGCAACATACATTAATTGAATTTCAAATGAACATTAGTTCTCCGAATACAAAATGAAAACTTGTTGGATATGCGCACACATACATATATTTTATATAAAGAATTACGAGCTAATGCATAAAATGGGCCTCATTATAGCGCACTTTGAGTGCTATTGTTTTTTTTGCAATGCTGTTCTTTTGTAATTTGCAGTAATGATTTTTTAAGTTATTTTTTAATTGTTCTTGTAACGTACAACTTCCAGCGTCGTTATGGACACAACATCTGATTTTATTCTTTTGCGCAATTCACTTCACAGCTGCCTTAATAACTTATGATATGCTTAAGAAGCAAGGGCGAAGTATTCCTTTGATTTCTTGGGATCAGCAATCATGGTCTTCTCACCGGGCTTCCAGTTGGCTGGGCATACTTCACCGTGCTCATCGGTGAATTGGAACGCCTGAACTAAACGCAAAGTTTCGTCGACACTGCGTCCAACTGGCAAATCATTGATGGTTACTTGACGCAAATTCTGGCTTCTGTCAATAACGAAAAGTCCACGGAAAGGAATGCCGGTTTCTTCATCCAACACACCGTAGTCACGTGCTATCTTCATGGATTTGTCGGCCAACAATGGGATAGATAAATCACCGAGACCGCCCTGTTTACGTGGTGTGTTAATCCATGCTAAATGCGTAAAGTGACTGTCTGTTGAGCAGGCAACAACTTCACAGCCAATATTGCGGAATTCGGACACGCGATCCGAGAACGCAATAATTTCGGTTGGGCACACAAAAGTGAAGTCCAATGGGTAGAAGAACAACACTAGGTATTTGCCTTTATAGTCGGTCAGATCGATATCTTTGAAGGTGCCATTGACGACGGCGGTTCCCTTGAAATGGGGAGCGGACTTCTGAATTTTCGGCATCTGCAAAATACAAATAACAACCACATATACAGTTAAAAACACCGTACCAATCAATTGCAGTAAATAACTTATAACCTTTCTGGGGCAAGCTCAGTTCAATTTCACCTTTTCAACGCGGTTAATGTACTGAACCTCATCATACAAACGGGTTTTTTATATACAATTTGCGTTTACCACAATAAGCAGTGAATCAGCAATTTAGGTACCTACAGACGGAAAAGTACGAGAACTGCAAAAATCTAGCAACAAATACAATTAGAAAGAGCAGACTTTGCGAAGCGATAGTTTGTCTTTTCGAGACTAATGCGCCGGGTTAGCGGTGCGGAGGTCTGAAACGAACCCGGCTGCTGACGAGTTATTAAAACGCTTTACAATTTATGTATGTACATATATATACACTATCAGATCAGTTCACTAATTTTTCTAGAATCTTTTAAATTCATTTGCCTGAAAAATATCAAATATTTATTTGCTACCATATTATTTATATAATTAGTCCCTTTTATTTAACCTTCATTACAGACATTCCCAACTACTTTATTGACTCGTTTCATATGAAATTGAAAACCCCCCTTATTGCAGCATTTTTACTTACGTCTTATATTATTTTCCGCAAAATTAATTCACACGATAATTTGTTTTACCGGCAGCGGGAGAATTTACTCGAAAACGCAAAAACGCACTAGTGTGAGGCAGCAGGCGAGTAAAAAATTATATACAAAACGGAATAACACGAACTTACGTCCAATCTGTTCGAATAATTGCAAAAGAATGATTATTTTAAATACGACGTCCAGAAAACAGCTGCCTGTATTGCAGCTTTGACAGCAGTTGGCAAAAGCGCGCGCAATGAAAAGCTTCGTTAATAGCGGTGGGCACACGTTACGATATTTCGCTTTGGTAGCAGAGAATGTATAATGCGTTCTCTGTAGTCAATATAAAGGTGACACCACTTTTTTAAAATACAGTATTTGGATTCTCTTGCTCTTGTAAGATTGCAGATTGCAAAAATTCTATACCGAAATATACAAGGGCACGAGAGGAGCCATTGCAAAATCTAGTGATATATGATCGGCTGATTCGATAAATTTATTGTGAACGCCTATTATGCACGGCTATTGTGAATTGGCGCACCTTTTGCATATATTTTTAACAAAAAAAAAAAAAAACTGTAACAAATCTTTATAATTTAAGTAAAATTATAAAATCTATTTAAAACTTAGCTTCCTCAACAATTTAACGTCAAAATATGTGTTTAAGTAAATTGACAGCAAGTACAGGGTTGCAATTATTTTTTTACGTGTCATTGCACGAGAATAAACATGGGTTTTGGTTTGACATGTTTCACAGCCATTGCAAACAATTTTCTGGGTGTGTTTGTTGTTGTGCAGGTGCAAAAAGAGGATATATCTGCATTTCATGCACCATGTAAGGGTTTTGCAAGAGCAAGAGAATACCCTTAATATGTGAATACGGCTTTGAAATATTTTCAGCAGTAACAATATGTATATTTTTCAGTTTGAAAGTGATTGAAACATTTGCATAAATTTTGATGATAATTGTGGAGATTACTCAATACTCTAATAATAGTATAGAAAAATTACCAAAAGCAAATATTCGATTTCTGACGTCTTTTAAATATTAAGCATTCATTTTAAAAATATTAACGAGCTTTTATTATTGTGAAAAATTTTTGAAATGGAAATTTTGGCTTGTACCATTCGCACTTTATCTTCATTACAGACTTCCAGCGTTGCATTTTACATCGTCCATATTTACTAAAAATTTTATAGCGTGGCAACATTGCGCGTAAACAATAAATGATTGGGAATTAAAAACAAGCGCCGAAAACTATGCTATAGTTGTACGAAGATTTGTATGCAGACATTATAAACAGGAAGATAAAAAGTATTTTGCTGAAAATAAGCGGAAATAAATTGAAGTTTATTAAAAACATGTAATCATTTATGTACCGTGAATGCAACTCTATCTACGCAATGTTGCCCTGATTTGCTTATAGACAACAACTGGACTGGAATATCCAGCCGTCACGGAAATGTTCATTCAATCGCAGTTTGTCGACCACAACGGGTTTCACTAACAACGGTATATTTTCTTGCCTTCGGTGTGGCATTTTTTCACACACACCTACAAACCAACATACATACAATAGCAACAATAGTGACAGCATTAAGCGAAAAAATAAAGCTGTGATAAATCGAAACATTGTAGTCATACAAAAAAACATTCAAACACACATAAAAAATGTGAAGAGGCATTGAATTCTGTTTAAATATGGTTTAAAATTGCTTAATCTTTGATTTTACGACGAATGCAAGCAGACGAAATGCGAAGCGGAAGTTGAAAAAAATACATATTAACAACGGAGAAAACTAGGGATCGTTGGATGCGAAAGTTGCCGAATAGCTAACATACACACATATGTTGAAACGAATAAAACGAATTGAAAGCGCATAAGAACGAATTGATAAGAATCTTCATTTATGGTCGGTGTCTAAAAGGAAAACGAACAACGAACATATTTTCTTTACAACTTTTGATAAATATACACTGAGATTACAGCGCAAATTAATTAATTAGCTGCCAAATACAACATTTGGGAGTGCGTAGAATGAGTGCGTGTTAAAGAGCAAAACGGCCAAAGCAATAATACACAAACACTAAGCAAAAGCAGCTTGTGGAGCAGCTATTAACTGTAGAAGTTCTTGGGAAATCTGTAAAAATTTTTGTCCACATGAATATGCTACACACCTTTAGTGGTAGTGGCGGCGGCGGGGGAGGTGGTCCTTTTGGCGATTCTAGTGGTAAGTACGAATTTGCGTATGAAAGGATTTATCAAAATACAAAAACAAAAAACAAAAAAATAAAATAGAGAAATTTGCAGAAACAATGAGGAAGTGTCGTGAAATATTAATGTTGGACATGGACAAATGTACATATGTAAATACATACAAACATATGCAGTTATGTATTTGCGATTAAACTTATGTACATAGCTACATGTAAATATACTGTAGTATTTAATGTCGTGCTATCCTTCGGCCATTTTCGGTTCGCTTCCTTTCAGCTATGCAGACTCAAAACCCAATACATACTTTTTAATTAAGAGTTACAAGGCATCAGCTGCAGGGAACTTTTTTCCTCACATAAACTACAACTTTTCTATATTCTATCACAATAGGGGGATTCTCTTGCTCTTGCAAGATTGCAGATTGCAAAAATCCTATACCGAAATATACAAGGGCACGAGAGCAGCCATTGCAGAATCTAGTGATATACATATGTATGAACGGCTGATTCGGTCAACTTATTGTAAATGACTATTGTGTATAGATATTGTGAATTGGCGCAACTACTGCATTCATTCTTAACAAAAAAAAAACAACAAAAAAGATGTAAGAAATCTTTATAGTTAAATAGAAATTATAAAATCTATTTAAAATTTACCTTCCTCAAAAATTTAACGTCAAAATATGTGTTTAAGTAAAATGACAGCTAGTACAGGGTTGCAATTATTTTTTTACCTGCCATTGAACGAGAATAAACATGTTTTTTGGTCTGACATATTTCACAGCCATTGGAAATAATTTTCTGCGTGTGTTTGGTGTTGTGCCGGTGCACCAATAGGAAATATCTGCAATTCGTGCACCGTGCAAGGGTTTTGCAAGAGCAAAAGAATACCCCTAATGTGTCGCTGCAAGAAATAACGAGCTTTTTCATGAAATAATGTACAATATATTTATATTCGTCTGATATTTGTTGAACATTTATCGTATACATATGTAAGGTGTAACCAAACAAAAACATATGTGTGCATGTACGTTCATGTTTATGCAAATTACTCTTTATGTATGTATTGTATACAACAGTAAAAAGGCCTCATTCGTAAATACGTTGTGGGTGAGCATTATTTCCACAACAACTGAGTTATTAACAACAAACTGTAGAAGAGAGAGAGAGAGTGGCAGTGTAGAAAAAGGGATGAAAACAAACTGACTAATTGAATTCTCGAGTGATTAAATCGTTCTTATCCAATAAGATCACGTATGTGTATGGATTAACCCGCAGCTAAAGATTAAGAGTGCATTGTTTTAATATTTGATAAGAAGTTCTTCTACAGCTTATGGGCTCAGCTGCTTGTAACAGCTGTGCTTAAATATGGTCCAGAAGAGCGGACCAATATTATTGGGGCAACGTAACTTTATTTTAGTGCTCGTGGAACTCAGACACCAACATATTACAATTAAAAGCATAATTCGGCACACATCTGGAAGGTAAAAAATATTAAAAAACAAAAAATTTAATTCGGTTGCACCGAAGCTAGAAGTTTTTCACAGTTAAAAAAGGTTCCTTTGTTTTCACTGAAAAATTTTATCAGAGATTATGGCGTTGCCTTAGCCAATATTCTGTGCCGAATTTCGTGAAGACAATTCGTCCAATTTGTATGGCAGTTACATATATCCTATAGACGTCCGATCTAAACAATTACTTAAATATTACGATATCTTAGATAATTATCTTTGCAAAATTTTTAAAAAATATTTCGTCAAATAAAAAAATTAAGTTTGTATGCCAGCGGTCAGATCAAATAAGGATCTTCTTGAGAAGAAAAATATGTGTGTGGAATTTCAGAGCAATATCTCAAAAGCTTAGTGAGTAGTTCGCATATATACTGACGGCTGAACAGACAGACATGGTTAAATCGATTTTTATAGAACTTTCCACGTTCTTTCTGGGTGTTACAAACGTCAAGACGAACTTAATATGCGTATACTTTTCAGTATATAAGTATAAAATTGTATACTAAGTCCCTTATTGAGGTTCAAGTAGAATTTATTCAAATAACTCTCAATACTGGATACATTTAAGTTATTATTGAGTGATTTGAGGTACTTTTTCAAGTTTGTAATAAGATTGAGGTTAGCGACGCTCTTTTATAACCGCCACTTTTAATAATTTTTTTCTTAGAAATTGTATTCTTGGACAGAAATTTTGTATTATAAATTTTGGGTGTTTCTGTTTTCTATGTCCTTGCGTGGGTTTTGCGGAAATACATACATATGCATGTAGTATATATATTAATTAATTATATATTAATTTCTTAAAATATAACAATATTAGATTAAAATCTTAAAGATACTAAGTACCAAGGCTAGAAAATAGCGGAATCAGACAGAGACAGTTTATGAAAAAAGACATGCCAAAGCCATCTGCTAATCAGCTGTTTCCTCGCAATCCTTCCTTCAAGGGCACAATATGTGAAAGAGCCAGCGCCAGTTTCAAGGCAATCTAAAGTCTAACTTTTTAATGGGTATGAGTAGAATAATGAACTTTAGTAAATTATTAATTGGCCACTAACTACTCGCTGTGTCTACAACAACTACACAACCACAACAGTTGTAGGTGCTTGTTGATGACTTTTGCGGAATCACAGTCTATGATATTGTTTTGCTTTAGCTCTTGTTGTTGTTATTTATGTATACGTTAACCACACTCATTCGGCTCGTGAGTACGCATCATTTGGTAGGTTGTAGATGGGTGGGGTGTCGTAAGCTAACCGGTGCAATTGTGTTGTTACACATCCACCTCCACAATGTATATATAATATATATATTCGTACATACATATATAAATGTTTATGTATGTAACTACATAACTCCAACTACATGGTGCGCATGTACAACATAAGCCCTTATGCACATACATACATATTACTAYATACAACGTATTTACTACATACATTTGTATGTGTGTAGGTAAGTGTGTTTGTGTTTGGGTTTATGTGATTGCTGATGGCTGCCGTGCGACCTTATTTGAGTTTTCACTTGGGTTAGGTTAAAATTCAAGGGAGTTTAATAGCACCTCATGCTGAAAGTCAAGGTTACAATCTTGTTATGTACACAAATACACTATGGTCATTTTCATACACATACATATGTATATTTTATATACATATGCTGGGAGCTACATATGTAAATACTGCTTTGTATTAGTGATATGTAAATGTGTATTACAACTAGATATATATAGTATAACAGTGTAAACATTATACATAGGTATGCATGTATATATATACATAATTGTGTTATAACTGTTTTATTACAAGTGGCATGCTGCTGCTATTTCTGTTCTTTCAAAAATGTAAATATTTTTCTATTATCGAGCAAATGAAAAAAATATATAACAATCAGCAGCTTTAGTCTTTTGAATGTAAATTCCTTAGAATGCTCGAAAAGATGAGAACTTTAGGAAAGTCATCAACAGGGAAATATCATTGAAATCCATTGGTTTTAAAGGAATTAACATGCTGATGGTAAAGCATCTAGTCTCGACGGGAGTCAGCTTTGACCACTTTTCAGATACCCGATGTGTGGAAAATAAAGAGTCCATTACTAAAACCTGGGAAATCCGCCAACAAATTCGAGTACTATCATCCGATAACTCTCCTCTCCCCAGTAGTGAAGAGACTTGAGGCCTTGCTACTCTCCGACCTGCACACATCAACTGAGCCTATTAAACCACCAGTATGGCTTTCGAAAAGTGCACAGTACCTCCAAAGCGCTTAGCGTCATAAACGCCCATATAGTTCAAGACCTTAATCGGAAACCACGCTGCGAGAGCACGATCCTCGTAGCGTTGGACTTGTCAAAAGCCTTTGACACCATCAATTACATAATGCTACTTAAGGACATCGAAAAATCTAAGCTCTCTCCAAGACTGAAGACTGAATTACTTGACCGGTCGTCACATAATCCGTACTATTTCGAGGTAAAAACTCAAAATTGAGAAGAATTAAGCAAGGGATTCCGCAGGGTGGTGTTATTGTTTATCTACATCTCGAAACTCCCGCAACCACTAGAGGGAATTTCTATCCACTTACGCTGACGATTGCACGATATTGACGTCGGGAAATGGAATCGATGGTGTTGCCACGAGAATCGACAGTGACCCTTGTCAAACTTCGTTCCAGATACTGTAGCAGGTTAATCTCCTACTTATTGACTCCTATTTGTTCGGCGTGCCACGAATCCTTGCATGACACTAACCACCTCTTGGCATGCCCAGCTAACCCTACACATCTGACAACCTACTCCCTATGGTCCGACCTCGTCAAAACAACACGTTTCCTGGGCTAACCATTAGACGACGTCGATGTGAATTTATCTGAGCTTTACCATCCTAACGGGGACTAGATAACCCTTAAACGAACAACAACAAGAAATGACCATCTTCTTGAAGAGAACAGAACGAGTGGGAAACTTCAGATCAATAACTCGAAAACTGACGAGCTAATTCGCTTAAACATACATATACAGACGGGCAGATGGACGTGGTTAAATGACCACCCTGATTATTTTTACATACATATACTTATTTATGGATTCTCGGTGGGCTGAGGGCAATTGTTTTGAGCAATCATATTATATTATCTTCCTCAAATTTTGAGATCAAAATGTCTCTCCCATAATTCACTTAAGAGTATTGTGCTTCTCAAAGCACGCAGTCGCTATTTCATGCTCACTCTCGACAATCGAATACTCTTGATTATATTAAGCACAAAGTGTTGATTGGACGCAAGGATTTTATCATAAAAACTTTTTACCTTCATCCTGATGAACGGGACATTAATTTCTACATATTACTTTCTCATTTTCCTTCGATTACTTTTTATTGCCATATTTCTATTGTAGCTTTGAATGTCAGCTTTAATTTGTGATAGCTACTGCGTAACAGTCTCTATGACGGCACATTACACAAACTTAGTAGTGCATATGTGTATGTGACTATATAAAGTTGCATGTATTTGTTTTTTTTTTCCAGCAGCATCCGCTTTATGATTAATGCGAAAAGTTTTAGAAACTTTTACTGAATTGCATTGAACAATTCAAGGCATTTCTGGAGTGTCATTGCTGCTATACTCTTAATTATTAGAATTTGCTAGAATATACCACGCACATATTAAGTGTTTATATAGCATAATAAAATATATTTAAGTGTTTGATATTAAGAGCAGAGAGTACTTAGAAAGTGGCAAAATATGACACGAATGACTCTGAGCTTAAAGTTACTTGAGCAATACCGTCACATTTATGAACTTTTAATTTAGTCATATTGAGAGAAATTGGACAAATTTGAATATATTTTGTAACGAAAATCTATACTATATATATAATAATTTGGTTTTTTCAATTTTTTTCATTAAGAAAGTTCAAGTAATTAAGATTCGTCAACCATTCACCTTGAGCAATTTTGCATTAGAGCAACAAACCTCATGGTATTCAATAATTTTGCCTCTTGCAGCGTCCAATAGTAGTTTACATAAATTTCTGTTGTTGAAATTTATCTTCAGCATTTAATTTAAGTCGAAGAAGGTAAAGCAAAGATATAAATTTTAGTTTAGCAATAAAAAAACGGTCACGTTGCTCATAAAAGTTGATTAGATTTGGTAATTTGTTTCCTTACTATGTTTACTTCGCACAGCAAGGTGTGCTTCATTTTCACGCTGTCACAAATGCTAAACGGATATCGTTATAACGATTGCAAAAACCTCCTTTTCTAATGCTTGGGATTAAATTTCGTTTTCAATTCGGTACTTGGTATTAAAGTTTTTAGTTTATTCTTTATATTTTATATTATATTTCCAATTTTTTCTTTGAAAAACAGATTATCGAAAAAACTTAAAACACGTTTTTTATCGAAACATTTTTTTTATCGAAAACTAAAATATATTGAAATTTTTTTATCGTTAAAAAATTTAAAATTATTCTTAATTAAGATTTTCGCGATTCAAATATGATTTCATTTATTATACCCTGAACAGACTCCCAGTTGGGATTGAATTTCTTTTTCAAACCGGTACTTGGGATTAAAATTTTAATAATTTTTTTTTTAAGTTTTATACTATATTTGAAATTTTTTAGAAAAACAAAATTTTATCGAAAAATTGCATTTTTATCGAATTTTTTATCGATACATGCATTCTTATCGAAAAAATTTTTATCGGTAAAAAATTTAAAATTACTTTTAATTAAGATTTTCGCAATAATAAAAAAAAAAGTTATTCAAATATGAATTCGGTTATTATACCCTGAACAGTCCCGCAGTTTTCAGATATCGAGCAGAAATTTTGTTCACCTTCTTTTCTCAATATAAAACTGCTTATTTGTGGGAATCACTCATATAGATGGCATACAAATTGAACGGAATCAAGAGCTTGATGGGTTAACTTTTATATTTGACAAGGAATCTTCCCGAAATTCGGCATGGAAAATTGTCTAAAGAAATAATGCGATCTTCGAAGAAATTGTTTAGATCGGAAAACTATAACATATAGCTGTCATACAAAGTAAGCGATAGATCTTAAGAGGTTATATACAGTTAGAATTTTGAAAAAATCGATTTTTTAAGAATACAAACACAAAATTTCATATCGTTCCGGTGTATATTTTCGAAGTTACACGCAAATTTGACAAGGCATTTCAGAGTATTTCGAAGTACGAGCCCAAACTTTCAACGTGTTTTTCTCAAAAAAGTCGGTGACCATCATTATTCGAAAACGGTTCAACCGATTAGCCTCAAATTTTAATACGAGCTTTTTAGATATATTTTTTAGTAACGAAAAAACGATAAATATTTTTTAATAAAAATTTTAAACTCGAAATTTCGGTCAAAACTCGTTTTTTGTCAAAATTTTTTATTTTATTACTAGATTTAACATTGCTTTAACGAAATCTGTTGGGTTTTTTAATTTCAGAGGATCCAGTTCAGAGATATAGTGTTCATTGCAAAACGTGTTTCTTCAGAGGAGTTCTCGTAGTTCTTGGAGATCAGCCTTTTCAAATAAATATTTTTACTAACATTATGGCTTAAAATACAGTTAAAAGATATCATATGTGTAGACAATTTTGGATAAAAAAATTTCTCAGAAAAAATTTTTAAAAAATCACATTTTGGGGTTTCTAAATGTAATGAATTTGTAACCTGGTAGGTGCTCAAGAAAAAATAAAAATTTAACTGTCAAGTAATATTGATTTTATGAAAAAAAAAAAAATTAACTATAATGATCACATAAATCAAATTTACGAAATAAATTAATTTCAAAATTATATAGAAACTAAGCAAATGACATATTCATTATCTCTTAAGATCTCATAAGTAGTGACATTTTGTTTTCATGCGAATTTCTGCCTCCCTTACTTATTTCTAATTAAAATCCACCTCCGCAGGAACTCCAAGCAAACGCATCTCCTTAACGCTACAAAAATACAAACAGATATACAGATATGTATATGGTATATATTATTTATTCAGTTTTTTTCTAAGCTATGGCAAATCAATGTTTATATTTAAGGAAACCACCCGTTGTGCACTGTCACTCGCAAACGATAACAAAAAATCGAAAAGTATCTATGGTGATGGTTTTTTTTTTTTTACTTAATTGATGGCATTGATTTTCCATTTGTTATCATCATCATCGTCATCTGACGCTGTTGTTTCAATTTTACGTGCAAATGCGTCTACATGAGCACTAATAGCCTTGTTAATTGCTATTGCGGTACAGTCACTACATACTTACGTACGCATGCAGTTATATAAGGGAAAATACATGCTTATATAAGTGCATAGAAATTACACCTACAAGCACTGCAGCGGCATCTACTCAAACTATATAAAGAGTATTAGAGGAAAGCTGTCACTGCCGACGAAGAATTATGCTTGTCATTACTTTTCTTTGATCATACGACCTTCGGTCAGCTCTGAAAAATCTGTTCGGATATTGCAGCATTTCTTAAGACAATATATGTGCCAAATTTCATGACGATATTTTGTTTAATAATAAACCGTCTTGTCCGCACAAGGACTTCAGTTTGATCGTTTAGTTTGTATGACAGCTATGTCCTATAGTGGTCCCTTATTTGTTCCGAAGAATGAGCAGCTTTATGGAGAGAAAAGGRAGTGTGCAAAATTTTAGATCTTCTTCTTCTTTTGTTGTTATCGTCTACGCCTCTGTACCATATTCGAGGGCGGGAATAATGAGATATTTATAGAGTTTGGTCTTTGTTCGTTGATAGAAGACTTTACTTCTCTATAGCCTACTCAGGCCGAAGTAGCACCTGTTGGCAAGACTTATTCTGCGTTGAATTTCGAGGCTGACATTGGTGTTGGTGTTAACACTGGCTCCAAGATAAACGAAATTATCTACGACATCGTCGTTATGACTGTCCACTTTGACGTGGGAACCAAGTCGCGAGTGCGATGACTGTTTGTTTGATGACAGGAGATACTTCGTCTTGCCCTCGTTCAGTAACAAACCCATTTACTTCGTTTCGGAGGATGGAGCCATGTTTAGAAATTCATGAAAATGATGAAAGTTCTCCGAGAGCCATTCACTTGAGAGTGCTCAGGCACGATTCTTTTACATTCGGTCTTAGATCTTAGACCAAGTATCCTCTAGGCAGCCAAAGAACATCCGTCTAAAGGCGAGCTAAGGTGAGAAGACAAAACATACAATCCCCAGGGTTGGACTGGGTTTGGGACCCGTCATATAAAAACACTTACCAATAAAAAGAAAAGTTAGATCGATATCTCAATAATTGAGAGACTCGTTCGCTGATATTATGGTGACAGATAGGTCAATCGTGATTAATTCGACTCAGTAATATGGGTTATTTGTCTGGTTGATATCCTGCTCACATTTGGCTTAACAACTCAATTACTTACCTACACATTTGAATGACTTTTGTAACTTCTTCTTCATTTCAGATATCGAGCTAAAGGAGCGCCTAATCGCCACCGTGAAGAAGGAGGTCAAACAACTAATGGAAGAGGCTGTCACCAAAAAGTATATACACGAAGAAAGCAGCTCGGTGACATCACTGTGCGCTGCAGTGGAGGCATGCCTCAGTCATGGTTTGCGACGTCGTGCTTTGGGTCTCTTCAAAACCTCTTCGACGACAGCGTTGATACAGAAGATAGCCAGAACTTGCCCAGAAGCTGACTATATAAATCGTTGCTTGCTGGAAATCGAAATGGTCAATGAGACGCATACGATATCCGGCAAGCGGTCTTCTTCCAGCAGTGATAGTATTATAAAGCCGAAGTTGCTCAGCAAAGGCAGCAGCAATTCGGTGACGACAATCAATACGATGTCGTCGACAACTAGTGGATGTGCCACAACGGTGGTGAAGTGAGTATACACGGAACGTGGAATATGTTCGAGGTGGCAATAAACGCTATTTTTCTTTCGCAGATACTTGTGGATACGCTTGGCACTGTATGAGCGTCGTCTTTCCAAAATAATTGAGTATTTGGTCAACAATGCCAATAATTTCTACGATCGTGATGCGCTGGTCGCCGATCCAGATTATGGCTCCATACTTAGTTCGCTTTTGGTCGGACCCTGTGCGTTGGAGTTTACGCGCGCCAAGACGGCAGATCACTATTGGTCAGATCCACATGCGGATGAACTTGTATGTATAGTTAATAAAAATTTACCGTTAAGAATTAATTAATTTTAATAAATGCTCATATAATAAGGTACAACGCCACCGCATTAGTTCCGGCAATCGCACGCCTCCGATAGTGCATCGTCCCATCATCAATTTCAAACGAAGTTTGCATACGAGTTCGGAGGACACTAGTAGCGGCTCGTATAAGGCGAGTTCGCCTGCCAGCGTCGCCAAGGATTATGTTGAGTCATTGCACCAGAATTCCAAGACCACACTTTTGTATGGCAAAAATAATGTGCTGGTGTTGCCGGTGAGCTTTGCGGTTTAATTGCAATCGAAAACTCAGCTTTAACTTAATTTCAATTCAATTTCATATTAATTGCAGAAGGACGTAAATGAACCCATGCCTGGTTACTTAAGTCTCCACCAAACGGTGCAGTTCCTCACTATCAAATGGACACCGAATCAACTGATGAACGGTTACAATGAAGCCGAGGGCACCGACAAAAGCTTCTACTGGGCCTATGCGCTTAATATAAATGTTGATGAGATTGTCTATGTGCATTGCCATCAGAATCGCGGCGAAGACACTGGCGGCACTATAATATTGGTGGGTCAAGATGGTGTACAGCAGCCGCCGATACACTTTCCCGAGGGTGGTCATATGCAAGCTTTTCTTAGCTGTCTTGAGACTGGTTTGCTACCGCATGGACAACTGGATCCACCGCTTTGGTCTCAACGTGGCATTGAGAAAATGTTTCCATGGCCAAAAAGTGTACGCCGCCGCATATTACCCTCTGTGTTGGAATCCACCGATGAAACACCAATCGATTATGTCTTCCGTGTGGTGAGCAAAAGCCAGCATGAAGAGTTTTGTGAGTTTCAGCGTATTTTTTGGAGGCAAGAAGTAAGCATTAATGGGTATAATTTTTAGTGGCGACACATCCGATTTTGGAATTGGGACGGACCAGCCCACGACGCAAACATTTGAGTAGCTGTTCGACCACTGGCAGTAGTGACTGTTCCAGCAAGAGTTTATCCATGGAACAGAGTGGCGGTGACTCTCCACAGGTGTGCATGTTATTAAATCTTGTGTAATCGAGCGAGCGCTCGAAATTATTAGAGGTCCACCATTTATTTTTCATTTGAATTCTTATTCTTTATCACAATCGTGTCTATCTTCCTAGTCACAAAAAAAAAGTTTCAAAGCGTTCTTTAAGGACTTAAAATCAAAGCCAGCTCCTGAAAACAGATCCAACTTTTAAGACCCTCTTGAACCTCTTACCTTTTTTTCACAGATTCAAGCAAGCCAAACTGCAAGTATTGAGCTGGTATGTTCAACGATGCGTCGTCAAATAATATCTCGAGCATTTTATGGCTGGTTGGCTTATTGCCGCCATTTGTCTACGGTGCGCACACATCTCTCTGGTTTGGTTAATGGACGCATCACACCGGACTGTAAGTAACACGAATTTATTTCTCTGCGCCGAATAAACTTTACTGACATTTACATCCTCACATAGTAGCGGCCGACGAACAGGGACTAACCAAAGAAAAGTGGGAGAAACTTCAAGTGGATGGCGTGGTCACCAGCGATATAGAGGTCTTCCGTTTGGTGTACTTCGGCGGTGTGCAGCATGAGTTACGCAAAGAAGTCTGGCCGTATCTCTTAGGACATTACAGGTTGATATCATAAATATCACACATGTATTTAATAAAAAATTCATCCAAACTGCAGCTTTGGTTCCACACCGGAAGAGCGCGAGAAGTACGACGATACCTGTAAGCATTATTACGAAACCACAATGAGTGAATGGCTGGCCGTCGAGGCGATTGTGCGACAACGTGAGAAAGAGAAGAATGCACAGGCTGTGGCTAAGCTGACGGCTGAGAAAAATAGACGCGCAGGCAAGCCAGTATGCCGGCAATATGAAATGGATGGCGAAGATGTGGAGAATGACGTATTCGAAGATAATGATATTTCCGATATGTCCGATCCGGGTGAGGATTTCGATGAGGATATACTCATTGAGAAGGACGAAGACGAGAGCATCACCGTTACTAAAGGTGAAAAGTACAAAACCACCAGCATCACCGACTCCGGTAATGTGGAAGAGGACATCGAGATAGCCGAAGCTTTGGATGCAACGAATGATAGCCAGCAGCGTGAAGACGACGACACAAATGCAGTATTAGTGATAGAACAAAGTGAACATATTGTAGTAGAACTAGAAAATATGGATGCAATGGAGCCCCTAGAGCTGCAAGAAAATTGCTTTGCTGATACTGACAACGAGGCGGGACTAACACCTGAACATGGTAGCGCTATCTTACTTCTAAGCGTAAAGAGTTCACCATCGACCTCCTCTTATGAGACCGTTGGTAATGAATTCACCGATATCAACGAACTGGCCACATCAATGAATGTTGTGGCCGAGTCGGAGACCATGAATTTCGGCGCTGTTATAGAAGATGTCGAGCCAGAAGAGGATGCTTCGTCACATGTGACGAAATTTCACAGTGCCGACGATTTACGTCGGGCCATGGATGAGTTTACCATCGGTATTGTGGAACAGGTGCGCGATGCTGAGTCAATGCCAACACATGCGGTGATTATAACCGAGGCAGTATCAATGGATGCGCTGCAATGTGATGATGAACTCACCGATGAACTGTCACGCAAGACAAGTCTCATGTCACCGATGAACGAGGACATAACAGTGGTGGCCTCACTGGATGCACTGCAAGAGCCCAAATCGGCGTGCGTTTCACCTGCCAGCAGTAATGGCGGTGTATATAGTGTGGGTTTTAGAAGAGAGTATATTTGGTAACTGTAAATAATTTCGAATTCTTTTCTTACAGAGCGAGTTATTAGAGTCATTTGGGCTGAACTTGCACCGCATCGAAAAGGATGTGCAACGTTGCGATCGCAATTATTGGTATTTCGCTAATGAGAACTTGGATAAACTCAGGAATGTCATATCCACGTGAGTTTTATAAACCAACTTACTTTACAGTTGTTCTACATACCGTTTTTATTTAATCTGCAGCTATGTTTGGGAACATTTGGATATTGGTTATATGCAAGGCATGTGCGATTTGGTTGCTCCGCTATTGGTAATTTTCGACGATGAGTCTCTCTGCTATAGCTGCTTCTGCAAGCTTATGGAGCGTATGATCGAGAATTTCCCCAATGGTGGCGCTATGGACATGCACTTTGCGAATATGCGGTGAGTGAAATTGCCACCTCCTTAACAATTTTAGCACAAAATTGAACTCTCAAACAATATTACAGTTCCCTCATACAAATTTTGGACTCGGAGATGTATGACTTAATGGATTCGAATGGTGACTACACACATTTCTATTTTTGTTATCGCTGGTTTCTGTTGGATTTCAAACGTGAGTTGCTCTATGATGATGTCTTCGCGACCTGGGAAGTTATTTGGGCGGCAAAACATGTGGCCTCCAGCCATTTCGTGCTCTTCCTTGCTTTGGCGCTGCTGGAAACTTATCGTGACATAATATTGTCGAACAGCATGGATTTTACGGATGTTATCAAGTTCTTCAACGGTGAGAGAGAGAAAAAGTTATATTTTTTCAAATTAATTTTAGCTTAGTGTTAAAGTTTGGAATCTTTTTTTCAAGAAAATATCAAAAATTTCAAACGAATATAAAATTTTAAGATTTTTTTGAAAAGCCTTACAAGTAGAATCTCGTAAAATGAAAATCGAAGTTTTACCGATTTAAAAATATTTTTTTAAAGTTTTTTTTTTACAATTTTATGGTTTTCTCATGGTTTCTTTCAAAATATGTATTTGGAAAATTGTCCTTTCTTGTTTTCTGTTGTTCATATTTTTCGAACTTTTTTTAATTTTTTTTTAATTTTTAAATTTGTGTACATTTTTTGTAAAACAATTTTAAAAATAATTTTGAATTTTTTTAAATATCATTTTATGGTTATGATATGCTTATTTTTGGAAATTTTCTTTAAAAAGTTTGGTTTTCCTCTTTCAGAAATGGCTGAGCGGCACGATGCTCGATCCATATTGCAATTATCCAGGAGTCTTGTACTGCAATTGCAGACAATAATCGAAAATAAATAAAAATCCACACTTAAACATATGCTTACGACATACACACAAACCTTAAAGCATAGAAAAACATATGAACAAACATATATTTAAATATCCATATATATTAAAAAAATCTGAAGCAAATGTAGGCAAGTAAAAGAGAATTGGCATCCATTTTGGATAACACAAGTCAACGTAGTAGTGGAGTGTAGCCGCTTGCACCTAGATGAAACTGTAGAGTAGAGCCACACACACACATAGCTACAAACAAAAGTTCAAATCAAGGTGGGTAGTGGTTATATTATATAGCAGAAGAGTTAGCTGTTATGAAAATTAAAATTAAGTTTATTTATCAAAACGGTGAATTTCGTACTGGAGAAAAGTGAAAAATATAGAACTATTTTTTTTTTGGAAAAAAAGTGAATTTAATTTAAACAAAATTAATAGGAAATTGGAAAAAAATAAATTAATTGATTAATTGAAAAAAGAATTAATTGATAAATTTTGTTTTTATCAAAATTAATTTTTTTTTTATATTTCTAATTCAATTAAAATTACAAGATAAACAAATTTTAAAATTAAAATTAAAAATTAAAGAGCAAACAATTTAAAATTTAATTTCAAATTTGTTGCTAAATTTTTTATTTTTTTTTAATTTTTTTGTAGTACAATAGCACAAAATTTTTGTTTTAATTTTAATTGAATTAAAAATTATTCCTGAGCAGACACATAAGGACTAAAACAATGCAGTAATTGCAAAAGACAAATGTAAGAACTCATGTAAATATCATTGGTTGAACTAATACTCATTACCAATACATATACATATATACAGTTAAAAAGTAAAAAAAAATAAAACAACTAAATGTAAGTAATATATTAATTGAGGTTAATCACGATCATATATACATATATATGTATGTATATGTAGTTTGAAGCAACTTGTGACAGGCTTTCAGATATAAAACAAAAAAAAAAAAAAAAAACTTGCTAAACGGCTGGGATGTAGTCCTGTAAAGGGAGAATTTACTCAACAATTTCATACAGTGGAATACATAGCGACCTGAGTTCATTAAATAAAATATATAAATGTTCACAGAAAAATTACAAAGAAGTAGCATTTAAAAGTTTAACAAAAACACAGTAAATATTACATACACACACACACATACATAGTTATAATTGTACGTACTTAGTGATGAGTTTGGTGAAATGTTTGTAAAACTTTGTGTGGAAAATAGTTGCATAGTAAGATTATACAGATTTATAAAAGTGCAAGTAGAATATTATGAAGTATATTATTAAAAAGTTATAGCCAACGATATTTAGATGCAAGACATATTAAATATGGCAGCATTGTAAAATAAATAAAAAATTATGGAGAAAAATGTAGGGAATCACCACAATTTTATACTTCCTATCAGCAAGCATAAACACATACATGCATACATGCATACATACATACATAAAAACTTGTAAATAATAATCAAATAAACATAAATGCAAAATTGTATACCAGTCCAGTGAAAAATGCAGAGAAAATTATATTGAAAAAAAAAACAATATTTATATGGATGTTTGAACGTAAAGTTTAAAAAAAGTAGTTGTTATTTATATTGTTGGAAATGCTTAAACATGTTGGAACATGCATATGCATGACAAATCTGTTGCTTTTTATACAATGCTGTAATGCAATGTTAATTTGTTGAAGAACTTGCTTAAAAAAATTGTTAAACACACAAAGAGGGAAAACAATTATATTTAGAAAATGTACAAAATATGTTTGGAAGTATAAACATGCCAATAAATGCATTATTTAGCAGTGCTATGGCTGGCATATGCCGATTAATTACGTTGCTTGTAATTATAAGCTTTATTGAAGACCAACACGCGTTGCATATAACGAAATTGTTGCTTTTGCGCCATATAATATAATTTTTAAAAAAATTTAGTGTTTTTGAGATTTTGCAACTTTAAATTTATGCATTCTTTAAAGTGCTTTTCGTCTAAAATTGT